CAGGGGTCTTGTTTTGGTAGTTTGCATCCTAATGGAAATATTGTGAGGACCTCTTTCATTCTTAAATCCATTAATCATCAATTAGCTGTTGCTAATTCTATGTGGTTCTCTTGGGTCAATCAAAGAGCAAAGATCAAATGGATTTCTCATGGGGAGGATGATCTCAAATTCTTATATTTAAGAATTCGCTTGAGGAGGAATTATAAGAAAACTGTTATCTCTTTAGCTATGTCCAAAACCGGCTCCTCTCTGTTAGAGGCTATTAAGGATTCCATCTCTTACTTTCAAGGACTTTTTAATGCTCCTCTTCTACAGGAGTTTGATATTAGCATCTTTCCCTCTGGTAATGTTATTCCCCTTAGCTTTATTAACTCTCTTATTGCCCCTTTTTCAGAAGTTAAAATAAAAAACACAGTCTTCTCTTGTGCTCCCAACTCCACTTCAGGCCCTGATGGATTTAATTTTGAGTTCTTTAAATCGACTTGGGTGGTTTTTGGCCCTACGGTCTGCAATGCAGTGAATCATTTCTACAAAAATGCATATCTTCCTAGGACGGTTAAGGCTACAGCTGTGATGCCCCAAGATCTAATTTGGAAAGAATGTCAATCAAATTTTCCAAACAATTTACTAGAGTTATCTAAAAACCTTCAATTAAGCAGTCTATCAAACATCTATAAAATGTAAAACATCAATATACAAGTTGATTCATATCTCAAAAGTCATGTACAATACTCAGGAACTACACTACAATCACCAGTACTGAAATCTATCATGAGCACAAAAGAATCACTATCAATCAAAAGACAAAAACCTGAAGATCTGGATCAATTCCTATCTTCTGCTCCCTTGCCCTGACCTGAAAATATCAACCACATATAATGAGCTTTACAAAACCCAGCAGGTCACCTAATACCTATAACTGAAATCAAAGCACGGCTATGCTATCAATATGCATGTCAATCAATCACAGTCAATCAAATCATTGGTCAATGAATCTATGCAATAAGGAAATCCAGTAGTCAATAAAACCAGTCAATGCAGCAGCAGGCAAATCGATAAATCAAGCTCAATCAATACACGTCAATCTCGAAGAAATCCGTACACAGAAGAAAATCAATCAATCCGTCAAATCAATCAAGTCGTCGAATCA